GATCCTGTGGCCCACTGGAGCTGGATGGGGTCCCGGAGGGAGTGGGCATGGGGTAGTCATCCAGAAAAGGGTCTCTTGCTTGGGGACAGCCTTCTGCACCCCCCCTCCGCCCAGTCAGCCAGCAAGACCCGCTGTGGGGTTCAGCATTGAGCAGAGGGGAGGCTGGGGAAGCAGCTGCCTTCCTGCTTTTCCAGACCTGGGCCTCCCCCTTGGTGTGTTTGGAGACCATGGTGCCTGGAACTGTCCGCATAGCCGTGTTCCAGCACGGTGAGGGAGGCCAGTGCCGGCTAATTGTCTACAGTGAATGAGAGGGAGTGTTCTAGGGGCGGCTGGGTCAGTTGGTGCAGAGTGTCTGGGATGTGGCTGTAAAGGCAGGTCGAGCAGGCAGTCTGCATGCTCTGGTGTTTGAGCGCTGGAAGCTTCTGGAGAGATGGGCTTGGCATGGCGCCATCTTCCCTCTGCAGTCTCCTTGGGAGGGCTCTAGGGCCACCAGTCACAGGCGGCTGCCAAGCTGGGCCTGGACAAATGAGGTCTGTGTCCAGCATGAGAGAGAGTGACTGCTGTTGGAATGGGGGTCTTGAGCTAACACGTGGGGGTGACAGTGCTGGAGGGGGTGGCTGCTGGGTGGGGATGCCATTAGGGGGCTGCTCATGCCCTAAGACAGGAGGGCTGGAGCTGCGGCTGTGTTAGCAGGTGGCAGGAGGGTGTGAGCCTCAAAGATGTTTGAGCTGTAGACTGACAGGGGCTTACCGAGGAGAGGGGGGTCTGGGTGACCCCAGGAGATCTGATTCTGGAGCGGGGAAGATGGACAAGCATCGGCGGCCCAGCAAGAGAGGCACCTGCGCTGGGTTAGGGCGTGAGTGCCGCTATTTTAACCTGAGGAGCAGGGTCAGAGGGCATCCGGGAATTGGGGGGCTTGGGGTTTGGGGGTGGGGCCTGGAGGAGAGGCTCTGCAGGGACTGGAGTAGGGGAACAAACCTCCCCTCTTGCCCTGCCAGAAAACCTGGGATCATCAGGGGAGGAAGCTTCCAGAAGGCTGAGGGAAGGGAGAGTTCTGAAAGGAAATAGTCAGCTGTGCAACAAGCAGCAGAAGGAGCAAGGAAGAAAGGAGGGACAGTCGCGGGCAGCTGGGGGAGCAGCCTCAGAGCAGATGGGAGGGGTCAGTGGGAAGAGGGGAAAGGCTGATGCCCCCCGGTGGGGTGGGCTTGTCAGCTGTAGGATGGATGGGGGGGAGCAGGAACACTTCCTCCCACCTGGCCTGAGTCCTCACCTTTCTCCAGGTGCTGAACTGAGAGAAGAGGTGGGGGTCTGGGGATGGAAAGGTTTGCAGTGACAAGAGCAGAATTCTGTCAGTCTGCACACTTCCAGGGTCGCGGAGCTCATCCTCTCTCCTGGCAGACGCTCCCCACCCCCAAAGCATTTGGCTCTGACCAGGAGGGGTGGCTTGCTTTTCGAGAAATGCAGGGGGTGTCCTGCAGAGCCCACCACCAGCCGTCTGATGTCCAGGACCAACAGATGACCTGTGGGCCTAGGCCGAGCTGGGCCAGGGCTGAGCAGAAGGGAAGCTCAGAGTCTCTGTGCCTCGACCACCACGTCTTCCCTGCAGCGGGCTTCGGGGGGCCGCCTCAGCCCAGCCTGCCCGGAGCCTCAGGCCGGCGCCCAGGCTCTGGCTCCGTGTCTTCACTCCCGTGTGTGTCTGAGGAGGGAGGGAGGGACGGGGGCTGTGCTGGGGCTGCCGGAACAGCGCAGGTCACCGGGCCGGCTGGACGAGGTGGCTAGGCAGGGCTGGGGGGCTGCAAGGAGGCCGCTGGGGTGGGGGCCAGCTCACAACTGTGAGCGGTGGGTGGGTTGACAGCGCCAAGGAGCGCTACTCAGAGCCTGCCCATGGGGGGCTCCCTGTGTCTCTCAGTGTTTTGTCTTCTCCTCTCTGTTGACAGCCTCTCTCTCCTGTCAGCATGAATGGCAGGTTCGGGATGGGGGTGGGGCCCACCAGGGGACAAGGAGGGTTCAGGAGGGAGGGCAGCCAGCCAGGGATGCTTACGCCCTTGCAGCCCGTGCCCACCTAAAGAGCTGTGTCTGCCCCACGGAGCCAGCGCCCTCCTGCCTGCCCCCCCACTGCCCCGTGACCCAGCAGGCCTGGCCTGGGTGCCCATCACAGCTGAGCCCAGGGTGTCACCCGGTAGCCCCAGGCTGGAACCTGCCTCCTCTCCCTCCCCCAGGGCACACCCCCTAGCTCACCCCCCAACCCCCACCTCCAGCACCACGACAAGCCTGGTGGTCCTGAGCAGCAGGAGAGGGTCCTCGTCAAGGGTGCTCTCCTAGCCCTGCAATTGGAGGGGGAGGTCCGCAGGGGTTGAGGCAGAACTCTGGCCAACATGAGATAGGGGGCTCAGCTGCCTCCTGGTTGGGTGCACACGGCCCCATTGCATAGCCCCACAGAGGCCTCCACCCTCCAGGAGATGGGTCCAGTATCTGCCCTGCTCTGCAGGAGACACCCAGGGAGAGGACCCGCGGTCCTGCTCTGTATCCTGCTGCCGCTGGTGAGGGTCCGGGGCCACACAGAGTCGGTAAAGGCAGCTGAGCACAAAGGATGGTCGCTGGGGATGTTCTCATGTCCCAGCCATCCCTGCCTGGAGGTGCCTGCCCTCTCCCAGAAGGAAAGGGGACAGGGATGGGGGGTGGCTCCTCTCTACCAGGCCTTGGGGAGCCAGGCTCCGTCTCTCCACTCCAGCTGGTGCCCAGGAAGGCCCATGCCTGGCCTGACTCACCTCAAAGGTCCCTGACCCCTGACTTCTGCACCCCCACAGGCCTGGGGCTCTCCAAGGGTGGGCACACAAGTGGTCTTGTCACTCCCATCTATCTACGATGAGGTCAGCCCTGTCCCAATGTAGGGGGCCACAGCCCCCTTCACGTAGGCATGCCAGCATCACTTCTAGGCCCAGGGAGCAGGGGGGGTGGTCCCCCAAACATGCAGCTCCTGCGGGGGCAAGCCCTGGGTAGTGGGAGGGAGGTGTGAGAGCAGGGGGCAGCTGGGGCCCTAGCAAATGAGGCAGCTCAGGGCAGGTTTGTGTGGGAAGGGGGAGGGGGCTGTCCTTCCTGCCTCTGCCCTCCCCTTACCCACCACATCTGAGTAGGCTCTCCCAGGCCCCTCTTGACACCCTCCCTCCAGTCCACCCAGGTATGCAGCAGCTCCCTCCCACTGTCCTTGCGGCCCCGCCACCCACTCCTCACTGTCAGGTTGAGGGGCACAGGGCTGCAGCGGGGCCTGCACTGTGACTTTGCCCCAGCCAGACACTCTGTTCTCTCCACTTGTCTCAGCTGCCCCGGCGCATTGTGCATATGGAGTGCAGGAGATAAAGTCATTCAAACTTGGTCGGACCCGGCCACCCCAACAGGCTCTTCAGGGTTCATTCAGCCTCAGGATCATTACTTAGTCTTATTTATCCCCCACCAAGGCTTCTACTGGAGGCTGCCTGACTCTCCAGGCCTCTGCCCACCAGGGCAGCTCATGCAGGCCTGCTGACTCCTCCATAGGTCACCTTGGAGCCCCCCGCCCTTCAAGACCCAGAGGGCTTGGTCCAGGCTCCTCCACCCCCTACCCCACAACTGTTCTGGCCATACCAGGTGACCCCTCGACCCCAGCCCCACACAGCCCCCATCCAGGCCAGACCCCTGCCTCCAGTCCTACTCCGTGGCCAGCCCAGGCAGACACCAGGAGGGACCCTCCTTCTCCAGCTTAGAGGCAGGAAGTGCGGGCTGTGGGGAGTGTGCAGAGGGCTGTGAGGAGGGGTGGCTGAGGGGACAGGCCTAGCCGGTGTGGGGGCCTGAAATCAGGCAGCGTGAGCCCTTGGCCCCTCCCTGTGTGACTTGGACAAGAGACCCAATCTCTGGGAGCCTTGGTTTCCTGGTCTATGAAGTGGAATCACAGCGCCCACCCCAAAATGTGGTTGTTACAAAACTGGGAGCAGCACGTTTTCAAAGGAGCGGTTTTTCCTCTCCTGCTGGCGCATGAAGTAGCCTGGGCAGCCCTCCCCGCGGCTCCGCAGTGTGCCCGCAGGGCTGTGTGTTCTTGGGCCTGTCCTTACCCAGGACAGAAACATCTTAGCTCAGGGCTGTAAGCAGAGCCGCCAGGGAGCCGACACCTGAGGCGGCAGCACGAGGGGCGATGGGGGCTTTGAGGGTGCAAAGGAGGGACTGACCCTGAAGGGGACACAGGTGTGTCCTGCTGGGCAGGGGCAGGGCTCGCGCTAGGTCCCCCAGCCAACTACTGCCCGGCCCCGGCCGACCCGGGTAGGCTGTGTGCCTTGTGGGGCTGCTGCCTCAACCAGCCCAGAGCTGTCGGTCTCCGGACACCCCTCGTTGGCAAAGCTACACCCCCCTGCTGTCTGTCCTCAGTGGGATCTTGTGCCCTAGGCCGGTGTCGGGAGAAGGAGGCTCCGCCCTGCCTCTCAGGAAGCCATTCCTCCTCCCTGTGCTCAGCCTGGGCCCAGGCGAGGGGCACCGGGCAGGCCTGGGAGCCTCCCCAGTGAGCCTTGTGTCTGGCAGCCCACCCCCACCCCACACACAGGACCCTGAGGCCTCTCTGTGCTGGGGTACAGCTGAGAGCTGAGCTGCTCAGGGACCCCTGGGACAGCCCTCCACGGTGGCAGCAGGGCAAGGCTGGGGGGCTAGGAGGAGCTGAGTAAAGAGGACATCCTTGCGCTGGGGCCCAGCCTTCTGCACCCCTGCTTTACACCCAGCCCCTACCGGGCTTCCCAGGGGTCCCAGAGATCAGGCCTGCAGAGGAAGCCTTGCTCCTGCGTCCTGTGCTGGGGGCCTCCTGGCCTGCCCTGCCCCCAACTCTTCTGCCTTCACCCAGGCACCCCCACCTAAGCTGTGCCCCCTCCCAGGTCTGCCATCCACGCCCACCCCGCCCAGGTGGCCCGCCGAGCCCAGTTCTCCTGGTCCCACAGCTGCCTCCCCGACCCCCTCCTCTCCCTCACGCCAGCCCCTCCCCACAGGTGAGCATCTGAGGATCTGCCCCCAGGGCTACACCTGCTGCACCAGCGAGATGGAGGAGAACCTGGCCAACCGCAGTCGCGCCGAGCTGGAGACCGCCCTTCTGGACAGCGGCCGTGCCCTGCAGGCCATGCTTGCCACCCAGCTGCGGGGCTTCGACGGTGAGTGGGCTGCTGGAGCTCGGGGACCACGGGACGCGGCCACAGTGGGGAGCTGGGCACACGGGGCCCTCTACCGGTGAGACAGGGTCAGAGGGTAGGTGGGGTTAGCACTTTGGGGGTGGGGTCTGGGATTTGGGAGGTCACAATAGCAGAAGGCTGCCTGCGGGTAGGGGCCTGAGTTGGGGATCCATGAGGCCTGGAGTCGTCTGCAGGCCTCTGCACACACCTCTGTGTGGTGTGTACTGCCCGATACACATGCATGTTTGGGGAGAGAGGGGCTGTCCCTTCCGTCAGCCCCTCAGAGGGGACCCTCTGCCCTTGAGGTGGCTCCTTGTCATGCACGGAGTTCTGAGCACCTGCCAGGGACAGGCCTTGTACTGGCCACCAGGTGGCCTGGATCCAGGGAGCTCAGCGTGAGGGCTGAGATCAGGAGCTGTGGACTGAGGGTGGGGCTGCAGAGTGCGTGGCCTGCCCTGGGTGGGGGCACGAGGAGTGTGGGGCCCCTGGTGTGGCCCTTGCATCTCCAGGGCAGCTGCTCTGTTTGAGTCATTTATCCCCAGCCCCTCACCAGGTGGTCATATATGGGCAGAGAGCAGTGGGCCCTAAACGAGGAATGGTGAGGTGACGTAATGACACCAACAGTGGGCACCTCAAAGAGGACAGTGTGGGTGCTGGGGGATCCCCCAGGAAGTGACCTCTGAGCTGAGATCAAAGCCCAAGGTCTCAGTGGTCTCGAGGGAGAAGGCGCCAGCCGGAGCTGGGGGGATGGGACAGTGAGCCTGAGCAGAGAGAAGAGGGAGAGCGGGCACCTGAGGCTGACAGGCAGCCCTGGCGTGGCTTTGAGGCCCAGCTTGGAAACACCAGCAGTGGCTTCCACGGGAGGCCCATGGATCTCGGCCCCTGGACTCCGACCCACAGCAGCGGGCCTCGCAGGCTCCCAGGGTGGGGCGGCCCCTGCCCCAGGGGACAGGCGGCCAGGGAGCCCGAGGTCATTTCCACGTGGCTGCTGGGCCTGGCCAGCTTTAATTGGCCTCAGCTCGTTGGCGCCTACTCTGTCCCTGTTGGGTCAGCTGCACCATCTCTGCCTCCAGCGATGATACTTGGAGCAAGTCTTCCCTGGCTGTCTGGGGTGGGGTGGGGTGGGTGGGACATGGGTGGCCCCTTTCAGTGCCACCCAACACCCAGCACTCCTGGGCCTGTCCGTGGGTGGGGACCCTGCATCCACTCCCCTGCGTCTTGGGGTCTCCCTGACGTCACTGAGACCTGCAGCCCTGGATCCCTGCTTGCTCCCTGTCAGCATCCTGCTGTTCCGTCTGCGTCCGTCAGTCCCTCTCCGGCATGCCATACAGAGCCTGCCCCGGCGTCTCTCTCCTGCTCCTTCCCGCCATTGTCCTCCCTGCTGTGATGGGGTCTGCGCCCCCCACACTCTGAGGCCCATCCCATGGTCTGTGCCCTGCGGCCCCTGCACTGCCCTCTAGAAGGCTCTGGCCTTCTGATGTTTATGCCCTCTTGTCTGGCATGTAAACACAGACACCCATTTGTGGTGAGAATCTGTGTTAAAAGCAAGCCTTCATCCCTTTCTAGGCCCCCCATGGAGTCTCCTCCACCTCCCCTTCTGTGTGCCACCCCCCATCCCCACCCCCACTCCTGTGCCTGCTTCTGGCCCCCTCGTGCCTCGGGAGTGGCCCTTGCCCGGGCCACCAGCAGCAGCCTTGGGCTGAAGTGCTCCTGGGAAGTGAGTCTGGTGGAGCCACAGATGGCTGTGTTCAAGGACACCAGGCCCCCAGGCTCTCTCACCACCCCCATCACACCCATCCCTGGCAGCCTTCAGGGGCAGCTGCCTGGGCCCTGGTTCAGAGCAGGACCCCCGTCAGGAGATGGGGCTGGGGGCTAGGCATGGATGTGTGGGTACCATGACCCCTCGTGTGCAGCTCAGCTAATGATTGAACTACAAACTGACGTTTTTGGGGGAGAGGCCAGGGTGGGGGGTTGCCAGGAGCCAGAGTCCCACAGTGGGAGCTGAGATGGGAGCTTGGACTGTGCACCCTTCCCACAGTCCCCCAGCCAGCCCTACAGCCCGAGGCCTTGGGTGGGTGGGAGTGGGAGCTGGTTCTAGGATCTCAGGCCTGATATCCACCAGGCCCCAGAGGAAAGCCCACCTGGCCCTGTGTCCCTGGAACACTGAAGTTTGGGCCTGAAAATCCCTAGCTGCCCAGGGTCCCGTCCCCGTGGTCTGTGTAGGAAGGGCAGCCATGGCTCTTGGGGATGAGTCTGACTGGACGGTCTGTGTGGTTATGGACCCTGAAGTCTCACTGCCAAGGGGGTGGGTGCTGTTTGGAGCCCCATTCCAGACACACAGGGTGCAGGGCATTTCCCTAAAACCACAGAGGTTTGCTGCACATGCGCACTCCCTGACCCCCGAGAGGCCTCAGCACGCCCGTCCAGGGCTCTGGGCACATCCCAAGGGCAGCAGGAGGTCCTCCCGGGGCCCTCAGACAGGCCAGCTTCTGGAGAGCATGATGAGAGCCGAGGCTTCTGGAACCAGAGGGAGAGCATCCAAGAGAGAGACAGGCGGAGAGGGAGGGCCAGACATGGGGTGCAAAGCAGGAAGGGATGTAGGAGCCCAGGAGAGCCTCAGAGACGGATGGGTGGAAAATGGACAGACGCAGAGACCCGAGACACCTGCAGGGCAGAAGGGCCAGCTGAGCGACAGGGAGGGTGGGGGAGATGGGGGGAAGAAAGGAGAGCAGCTAGGGATGCCCTGGACCTCTTCTCCCTCAGTGGGTCCCACCCCCTGACAGGGAAGACCTTCCTGCCCCACCCAGCGGCCCCTCCTCTGGTGACCCCAGTGGGTCACTGAGACACTGTAACGTCTGTCCCCCGGCCAAGGCCCAACTCAGAAATGTCAACTGGAGGCCCAGTTGAAGGACCTGAGACTCAGGAGGGGACCCCCACCTGGGCCTCTGCACCCTGGGCCAGGAGGGAAAGTCTCAGGAGCCCTGTAGGGGCTCCCATCCAGCCTCTGCAGCCTGAGGTCGGGGCTCTGATGACCACACGAGAGTATTCTCTCAGAGCATCAGGTGTCCCTGGCAGAACCCCCTGAATCCTGGTCCAGAGGCCACAGCATGGGAGGGCGGGCAGGAGGGCAGGGGCCCCTCAGAAGAAGGCCTCACGCCCACCTCCCCCATGCCCAGATCACTTCCAGCACCTGCTGAACGACTCAGAGCGGGCGCTGCAGGACACCTTCCCCGGCGCCTTCGGGGAGCTGTACACACAGAGCGCCAAGGCCTTCCGGGACCTGTATGCCGAGCTGCGCCTCTACTACCGTGGGGCCAACCTGCACCTGGAGGAGACGCTGGCCGAGTTCTGGGCCCGCCTGCTCGAGCGCCTCTTCCCGCAGCTGCACCCGCAGCTGCTGCTGCCCGACGACTACCTGGACTGCCTGGGCAAGCAGGCCGAGGCGCTGCGGCCCTTCGGGGAGGCCCCGCGTGAGCTGCGCCTGCGGGCCACCCGCGCCTTCGTGGCGGCACGCTCCTTTGTGCAGGGCCTGGGCGTGGCCAGCGACGTGGTCCGGAAGGTGGCCCAGGTGCGCACAGCTGCCCGGGGCTCTCAGGAGCCCATAGGCCCCCACACCCGCCCCCTGCTTCACACCCCAGCCCCGGTCCCCTATGCCCCTGCGCCTCCTGACCCTGGGCCACTGCCCCGGGGCCTGTGGACAGCACCTCCACGGACATGAGCTCCACTCTGGGCAGTGACTGCTCTGGGCGGCCCACCCGCTGTCCAGTCCCACCCTCAGCCAGGCTGGGTCCCAGGCAGGATGGGAAGGGAGAAGGGCCTGAGGCTGGATGCCAAACCAGCTGCAGGGATCAGGTGGATGGGAGACAAGAGTGACACGTGGCTCGGAGGCTGGAGCAGGCTGGGGCCCAAGGCCTCGCAGGCCAGCAGGATGCCTGTGTCAGGCCCACTCAAGGACGGGTGTGGGAGGGCATCAGCGTCAGACCCACACAGCCCTGGTTGTGGGCCACCTCTCCTCCAGCTGGGGCCCTTCAAAGGTTATGACCCCAGCCCTGAGCCTCAGTCCCTTGTCTGCACAGTTGGCGGGCACATCCACGCTCCCCTGGGAGGGTCAGTGGCAGCAGTGCTCCAGGGAACCACAGCACTGTGACCGTAGCAATTACTGGGATGACCGCCCCCATGGCACGCAGGCCCACTTGGTCATCTGAGAAGAGACAGGCCCCCGAGTGGGGCCAGGGCCAGGCTGAGGTCCCACTGCAGTCGGGGCAGAACCACGGACTCCTGGCTTCCGTCCAGAGCCCCCCACTCCAGGGCTCCTTGCAGGGGGCTGGGCACACCCAGCTGCGAGGTTGGGCTCAGGCTGCCTTGGCTTCCCCAGGTGCCCCTGGGCCCGGAGTGCTCACGGGCCGTCATGAAGCTGGTCTACTGCGCGCACTGCCTGGGGGTCCCCGGCGCCCGGCCCTGCCCGGACTACTGCCGCAACGTGCTCAAGGGCTGCCTGGCCAACCAGGCTGACCTGGATGCCGAGTGGAGGAACCTTCTGGGTGAGCCCTCACTGCCCCCACCCATCAGAGCAGCCCAGGGCCTGCAGAAGCGGGGACAAAGCTGGGCCTGTCCTCTGGAGCACCCGGCTGGGGCCTGGGACGCAGGTTGCCCCAGGGTTGAGGGACAAGGATTCCTTCTGAATGTCCCTAATGGAATGTGACTTGGGCAGCTGCCTGGAAGGGAACCCTGTGGGGTCATGGTTCATTGTCCTTCCCCACTGAGCAAGTGCCCCAGCATGTATACATGCTAACACGTGTGACGCATGATAGGCCAACCTGCACACGTGCCAACATGGGCCTATATGGCAACATATGTAAATACTAACACTTGCTGACACAGTGGGCCCACACCTACATGCCAAAACATGCGCTAGTGTGTACATGTGATGGCAGGATACAAGCCAACACGCGTGAGCTAACATGCATGTGGTGGGCCAAACATCTCTGTGCCAACACGCATGGAAGCTTACATGTGCTCGACATGCATGCATGCCAACACACACAAGCTCATACGTACCGGCCTGAAGTGAGTCAACATGCCTACATATCACTTCATACAAGCTAACGTGTACAGACACTGACATAGTGGACCAGCACGCATGCTTGTCGACATGTGTGAGCTTATGTATGTTGGTGTGAGGGGGGCCGGCAGGCATACATACAAAGTGCCCTCTGTGTGTGCTCACACGTGTGTGTATGTCTGCCAGACTCCATGGTACTCATCACCGACAAGTTCTGGGGACCGTCGGGCGCAGAGAGCATCATCGGCAGCGTGCACTTGTGGCTGGCAGAGGCCATCAACGCCCTCCAAGACAACAAGGACACACTCACGGCCAAGGTATGGGCAGGAGGGCACGGTGGCTATGGGAGGGGCGTCTCGGATAAGGCCTCATCCCCTCCGGGACCCCTGTGGTCTCTCCCCAGGTCATCCAGGGCTGCGGGAGCCCCAAGGTGAACCCCCAGGGCCCTGGATCCGAGGAGAAGCGGCGCAGGGTCAAGTTGGCACTGCAGGAGAAGCTGCCCACAGGCACCCTGGAGAAGCTGGTGAGTGGCCCATCAGCCATCCAGGCCCTGGGTGGGCAGTGGGGAGGGGAGGGCAGGCTGGGCTGGGGCACCCTGTGGTCTGACTGCTGCCCCACAGGTCTCTGAGGCCAAGACCCAGCTACGTGATGCCCAGGACTTCTGGATCAGCCTGCCAGGGACGCTGTGCACCGAGAAGATGGCCATGAGCACTGCCAGTGATGACCGCTGCTGGAATGGGATGGCCAAGGGCCGGTAGGTGCCACTTGGCTGACCACAGGCTGTCCCTCCTGCACGGTCTCAACTGGGCCCCTTGTCTGGCCCGTGGCACTGGGCACTGTGTGCACAGGACCACGCCTGATAGGGGACACACAACAAGACACAGAAAGCTGGGACGAGGGCCAAATCCTTACCCTGTGCCAGCTCCCCGCAGCATGCACCATGCTCAGTGTGTCCACACTCAGCTACTGTGGGGCCTACATGGGCTTCTGTCGGCCCCTAATGGCCACTGGGGGTCTCAGGCTTGCCACCGTCCGGACAGGAGGAGGGGAGTAGGAGGGTATGCTAGGGTGGGGCCCCTTTGCAGCGACCAGGGCAGTGACCCAGCACCTGCCTTCCTGGCCCCCAGGTACCTCCCTGAGGTGATGGGTGATGGCCTGGCCAACCAGATCAACAACCCCGAGGTGGAGGTGGACATCACCAAGCCTGACATGACCATCCGCCAGCAGATCATGCAGCTGAAGATCATGACCAACCGGCTGCGCAGCGCCTACAACGGCGACGACGTGGACTTCCAGGACGCCAGTGAGGGCCGGGCTTCCTGGGGCTGGGGGCTGGGGCCCTGGAGGCTGAGAGCCATGGGGTTGGCGCAGAGCCCTGCCCTGCTAAGGCAGGGTACGGGGTGGGGACCCTCCCAGCCCCTGGGCCCCACAGTGGCTTCAAGGGCGCTGCTGCTGCCGGAGGTGGACACCCAGCTCCCTCTTCCATGTCCCCAAGCACAGCTGAGACCTGGCCAGGATGTTCCTCCAGCCTTGGCAGACCCAGGGAGTGCCAGCCACCCCAGGGTCAAGGTGCTGTGGTCAGGAAGGAGCTGGCATCACTTGGCATGGGGGGCCCACACAGGGGGACGCTGCACTTGGGGTCCCCAGGATGGGTGGGCTGGAGCCTCCTCTCCTCCCCAGGTGACGATGGCAGTGGCTCAGGCAGTGGCGGTGGCTGCCCAGATGACGTCTGCAGCCGGAGGGTCAACAAGAAGAGTTCCAGCTCACGGACGACACTGACCCATGCCCTCCCCGGGCTGTCCGAGCGGGAGGGCCAGAAGTCCTCAGCCACCAGCTGCCCCCAGCCTCACATGTCCCTCCTGCTCCTCCTCCTCACCCTGGTCCTCTCAGCGGCCAGGCCCCGGTGGCGGTAACTGCCCCCGTCCCAGGGACGGAGGCCAAGGACTGACTTTGCCAAAACGCAAAACAGATGATATTTAATTCCCTTCGTCCTGGAGGCCCTGAGGCAGGACAGGGAGGGACAGCAAGGGACCGCGGCTCTGTGACTACGCTGGGGGTGGGGCGGGTGGCGCTGGCCCCCCAGACCTGGCTTTGCTGGCCACCCTGGCTTTTAATTTTGTATGAGGCCCTCAGGTCAGCCAGGAACGATGTCCCCAAAAGCCATGTATTTCAGGGACCTCGGGGATGCCGGTGGCCGCCTCCTGCCCACCTGCCTGCCTCTCTCCGCCCAGCTCCCTGCACTGTCACAGCAGCGGTACCCAGGCCTGCGAGGAGGTGACCCCAGGCAGGGTCTGCTGGAGAGTGCAAGCGAGCTGTGCCTTCCTCTCCTGCCTCCTCCAGCTGAGAACTCAGGGCTCCAGCTGTCAGAGAGCGAGGCCCACCCCTCAGCTCCCCGAGGATCCCTGCAAGGGCTCAGGTTTCTGCTGTCCAGGGTCTAGCAGGGCCTCCGAGATTATGCATGAACACTTCAGACTCAGCCAGGCCCCCCAGGCTGCCGTGGCCCCCCTAGAGCCCCCAGCGTCAGAGTGAAAGCCTGTCTGGCGAGGATGGCCCTGACAAGGCACCGTCCGGTCTTCATCCTTGCCAGAGACCAGCCTCAGGGGTCCATGGACGTGGGGGTGAGCCGCAGCTGGCACAGCCACGCCACTTCTGGGCTCTGGCCATCCCAGGAGGGCAGGCCTGGAGCCTCAGCAGATGTGAGCGTCCCCTTCACACAGGGGGCTCACAGCAGGCCTTGTGGGGTTCACGGCCTACACAAGGACCTCTGGCTATGCAGAGGAGCAGCCTGGCCACTGTCCATCCCCCCCCTCCCAGCCACATCCAGACCCAGGGCCAGGTCCCAGCTCAGGGTGACACAGGCCAGGGCTGGAGGTGACCCATGGCCTTCACCTGCCCACAGGGATGCTAGCTGGCTGATGAGACTTCAGCTCAGGGCCAGCGCGACCTGGCACTGCAGGCCAGAGGGACGCCTGGGTCCCTTCCCTGACCCCACCAGCTGCAGGAGGGCTGGGGGAGCTTCGACAGTTAAGGGCTTTTCCAGACGAGCATACATTTACAAGTGCTTCCCCTCCTGGTTCACCAAGAGCTGCTGTCTCCGCTCCTCCCAAATAGCTTTCCAAGGACCCGGGTGACCCTCCCAGGTCCCCGCATCTGGGTGCCCCGCTGCTCACTCAGGCTGGCGAGGCCCCTCCCCCAGGCCTGGGGCCTCCCTCTCTCCTGGGCACCAGCCACTGCAGGCCCTGGGGAGGGGGCTGGCACCCTGCCAGAGGGGCTCAGGCAAGGAGAGGGCAGCCCTCGAGGGTCTGGGCAATGCTGAGCCACCGAGGCCAGAGCCAGCAGTCCTCAACAGCACTGGGGCCCTGAGAAGGCTGCTTAGCGCTGCTTTGCTTCTCGCCGGGTTGGGGAGTCCTCTGGTTGCTGGCCAGGGCCCCTGGCACAGTCCTTGGACGTGTTGAGTCCAGGGTCTCCAGTCTGCGCTCCACCAGGCAGCCCAGTCCCGCAGGTACACCCACCCCATGATAACCTGCTAGCGCCGTGGCGGGGGCCAGCTGGACTCTCAGGGGCTCTGGGGCAATGACTGCCCGTGTGCCAGGACTGTGGCACTTTGCTACATACAGACGGCCCCAAAGGGGCCTGCGCTCTGGCCTGCCCTACACACATCCCTGGAAGGGGCGGCCCTGCCACCGTCACTGGCCCGGCAGCGGCCAGGCCTGCTGCATCCTTCTGCCGCATGGTGTCAGCAGGCGACGTGTGTTCTTTGAGTCCTTGTATGAATAAAAGGCTGGAGACCTCGTGTGGCTGCTGTGATGCCGCCTTGCACAGCCTGGCGGTGGGCGTGTTCCCATGGCCTGTGCACAGCAGCATGTGACTTCGGGCCCGGCAGGAGGTTGGGAGGCACATGGACACTGATTTCACCCGGCGGCGTGGCCCCAAGGCTGCAGAGGGCAGGGTCGGTCTGTATCTCCCCGTATCACCCCGGGCGGTCTCACTGGTACCGGGGAGAACGAAGAGGCCCACGTGCTGTCCACTCCTCCACTGCTCTGGACGCATAAGTTCTCTGACCCTCAGGAAAGTTCCAGGTCCTGCCAGGTAACCTCAGAGATATCCAGGAGGCTACTGTGTAGGGCCAGCATTGTCCTAAGGCCAAGCCTAGCAGGACGTCCTGACGATCCAGTCTGTCCCCATGCCACAGTGCCCTGCCGTGCCTGGCACCTCTCACCAGAGCGGGCACCCCTGCCCCAGCTGCCTTGCCTTCCCAGAGTCCTGCATAATTTTTGGGGTGAGGCGCCAGCCCCTGTCCTCGCCCCGTGGGGGTGCCCTGCCCTGGCCTCGAAGCATCACCCCATGTACAGGGCTGGCGCCCAGCTTCTCGGCCAGAGGCTGGCGGCCAACACAGAGGCGTGAGCCGCTGAAGGGTCACTTTATTTGGGCATCACAGCCCGCCCCAGTCTGCCTGCAAGCATTCAACACAGGGCCCTGGGATGCTGAGGCTCCAGCGGCTGGGACCTCAGGCTCCCTGAATGTGGAGAGCAGGGTTCCCCCAGCACAGGGGGCTGGGCAGCACACCCTGGGAGGGAGAACACAACTCCAGGAGGGGAGGCTCCTCCTGGGGTCACAGCTGCTGAGCGGTCCCAGGGCACAGCACGGGCTTCCCTGGATCCCTACAGAGCAGCAACTGTGTGCTCACCCACCCGCCTGCCCCTCCACAAGTCCCAGGGTGGCCCTGGTGCCAGCTCCTCCCAGGAGAGGGGCGCATGGTGAAGGCCCCCTCCCCGGCAGGTCAGCAGGCAGCCTCGGGGCTCGCAGAGCCCTGTGGGGTCAGGTGGGCGGCCAGATGCCCCTTCCTGGTTGTGGGTGGAATGGAAGCAGTTCGGCCCCAAGCGGCAGCTTCGGGGTCTCAGGCTTCTGGCACCGTGCCTCACCCGGATGCTTCGAGGGCTCGTGGAAGTTCTTGGTGAACAGAACCAAATGCGTTTCCTGTGTCAGGGCCAGGAGGGCACAGTGAGGCGGTGTCGGCACAGGACAGCCAACAGGCCGGGAGCAGGTGGAGAGGGGCCCACCTTGGCTGGTCTCTCTGCCCTGCCCTTGGAGCACCGGGCCTCGCCTGCCCTGGGCCAGGCCCTGGACCACCCCTGAGCTCCCCAGCCCTGCCCGCCCTGGGCCAGCTGCTGGGCAGGGAGGGGCCCCTGCCTGTCTCTCAGTCCCCCTTCATTCCTCCCAGGAAGCCAGGCAGCCACAGACGTCCTGACCAACCCGCCCTGAGGGGCGGAGAGCAGCCAGCTCCTCAGGGAGCCTCCTGTGGGCAGCCCGGGCAGGCCAGCGTGGGTGTCTGCAGCGCACACACATGCATGTGCACGCACACGCTCAGGTACACATGCATGCATGCGCACACTCAGGTGCACACACATACAGGGACGCACACTCTGCTCCCCTCCAGGTGACACTGAGCATTCCTTTACCCGGAGAAAACCCCTGTCTAGAAATGACGTTTATAATCAAAGCACTAGCTTGAGTTCAAGATGGAGAACTGACTCTCTCAACCCTAAATCCCCAGGGAGTAACGGAGAACCCAGGCATCTGTGTCCCTACTGGGAACTGAAAACAGGTGGCAAGTCATAGGTCAGAGCCGTCAAAGATGGGAGCAGATTCTAGGGGAGGTGACAGGGCACACGGATGGGATGCTGGGAGAGCCCAGCAGGCCCTCCCTCCCTCTGCACAGCAGGGACTCCTCCCTGGTGGGACCCCCACCCTCCAAAGTGAGATCTCGGTCAGTATAAATGTTTCTCTCCTTCCTTCACGTGGCCTGAAAATATGGAAAATATGAATGGGAACCATCACGGTTTCTAGCATAAAGTCATTTCTGTATCCGACCTGGGAGAGAAGACAAACAAGCCAGCAAGAAACTGTCGGAGAAGGGCCGGCCCGGTGGCGTAGCAGTTAAGTGCGCCACTCCGCTGCGGTGGCCCGAGGTTCGGATCCCGGACACGCACCGATGCACCGCTTGTCAAGCCATACTGCGGTGGCATCCCATATAAAGTGAAGGAAGATGAGCACAGATGTTAGCCCAGGCTAACATCCTTTTTTCCTCGGCAAAGAGAGGAGGATTGGCAACAGATGTTAGCTCAGGGCTGATCTTCCTCACGAAAAAAAAAGAAAAGAAACTATCGGAGATCTCAAAAAACGCAGCCCCATCAGGACCTGCGGAATCAGACTGACTGTCCCCACGTGAGAAGGACAAGAAACAGGAGAAAACGTCAGGAAGTATCTAGTTTGAAGAGGTCACGGCAACTTGGTGGACCCGGCTGACACTGCAGCGTCCCCTTCCCTGTAGACACGTTGAAATGCTGCACAAAACCACCAGCTCTCTGGGGTCACAGGAGAACCAGGTCCCAGGCACTGAGACGTCCTGCGAGGCCACAGTGAGTGTGGGGGCGTCAGACGCAGAAAGATCCCCTGGGGGTATCAGGGGTGAGCAGACAGGCGTGCTGCGGCTGACGCCCCGTGTGGCCCGGATGCCAGAACTAAAAGCTCGGCCTGTTGGCCGGCGGGAGGCCGGCAAAAGCCCTGCTGCCAGGGCTCTGCACAAAAACGACGTCTCCCGCGAGCACTGAGTCCCGCTGGCCCTCCGCTGGCCACGGACAGGAGCAGACGCCGGAGCCTCCAGAGGGCTCACCCAGCGCGAGGCAGAATGAGACGCCCTCAGGGAGAGGGAGGATTACAAATCCCCAGTGACGGAGCTCAAGTGAAAATCACAACAGGCCAGAAAATACTCACCACCCAGAGCCAGCACCCCCAGAATGGTGGACAATAGGGCAAATGGAAATAGTTCGTGAAGTAAGCTTTGTGTAGCACCAAAGAGGAAAAGAGAGGTGGAAACCATAAGGTTAGAACAGGTCTATTTTTAAAAAGAAAACGAAAGAAAAAGACCGAAAAAGCACCAAGTGGAGCTGAGGCAGGGACCCCCACAGGAGGCAGAGACCCCCCCACAGCAGAAGGGGACCCCCCACAGGAGATGGAGACTCCCACAGGAGGCGGGGACCCCCCCGCAGGAGAGGGGGACCCCCTACAGGAGGCGGGGACCCCTGCAGGAGGCTGTCAGCAGGAGCTCTAGTCTTTAGGCGGGGGCAGGGCTGTAAGAACTGTGTGGGGAGATCAGGTCTTGGACCCAGTGAGGCGGGCAGTGGAACTAAGACCCTCCCATAGAGATGGAAGCCCACTGCACCTCATCCACAGGTTGGCAGCCTAAGCGCAGCCCCCAGCTACAGAAGACCACGCCATGTGACTCTGTGTGGATGACATTCTGGAAAAGGCGAATCTGTAGGGAGGAGAGCAGAGGGGCGGCTGCAGGGGTGGGGGAGAAGAAACCATAAAATAGATGGTGCTAGGCTGCTGGCTGTCCACATGGGAAAGACAAAGCAGGAGCCCTGCTGCTTCCTATCAAAAAATATATGTATTTTGGATGGAATAAGGACCGAAATGTGGAAAGCGACACTTCAAAACAGAGAAGACAACAGAACATGTGCCACGTGAGGGTGCAGCACGTCGACACAGAGCCACCAGCCATAAAGGGCAAGGTGGACGACTGTGGCCACGTCTGCATTCCAACCCGCACGAGAGAGACCACAGACGCAGGGAAAGGCAGGCCACAGAGTACGTGAGAAGCTCCACCTCTCCAGAGAAAGGGTGAGTCAATAGAAAAGATGGGCAAAGACGACACACGCACACTGGTAATTCACAAGGAACTCCAAATGGCCAATAAATAAATGTATGAAAAAACATTCAACTTCACTTGCCATCGAGGAAATGCAAAAAGAGACTTTCCATAGGACTGTGCAGGGTCAAACCTCACAACGGAAAGCAGGTCTACAGTCATGGAGGGAGATACAAATGAGGCACAAAACCAGAAAATGGGACAGGCGGTGGCCCAGCTGTGTGTCCTTCCAGTTCCTTAAAACCCAGGCGTCCGATGAGCACCGCTAGTTGTGGACTTCTGTCCCACCCAGGGGCTTCTTTTATTATTTTGTTGATTTTTTTTAAATTTCCAATGTTGCACCAGGTCTGACCCAGGTTTTTATGGCCTTGAGCTCGTATGGTGGGGGGTAGTCTCTTCAAAAACAAGAACACAAACCACAAAGCTAAGCTGGGACCTTGGCCTATGCAGGGCGCCTCCCCAGGCTCATGGCCAATCTACAGACAAGGCCAGAGGAAGGTTTGAGCGGGAAGGAGGGAGGGGCAGGTGCTGGCTCCCCAGGCTCTGAGGGCGACCTGCCGTCTCCGCTCTGTCCCGGCTGCAGCTGGAAGGAAACCCACAGCTCCTAGCCCTTCATTTTCTTCATCCTTCCTGGGACCCCCCTGGCTACCCCCACCACTCGTCTCTCCAGAGAGCACAGGGGAATGCTGGCTTCTGGGTGGAACCCAGACACCGGCAAATTCCAGGCCCTTTGTCTCCATCACCAACATTTCAGGCCTAACGCCTCTCGCATTCCAAGGCTCCTCCTTGGCTGTACCCCTCTCGGGCTCCCTCACACCCCTCCATTCCCAGCTTCATAGGCCTTTCCTCCCAAGGCTCCCCTGACCTGGCCTGGCCACCCTTCAGGGCAGCTGCCCGTTCTCCCAAGAGCCCAGGTACTGGGGGTTTGGGGGAGGGGGTTTGTGCCCAGGGGGCGGGCCTTTACTGCTCTAAGTGGGGCCCATCAACTCCTCTGCAACTCCTCTCGCTCCACCTCCCAGACCTTGTCTCCTCTGGAGCACGTCCACGGCGGACATCACTGGCCTACTGCCCTGCTCGCTGGCCCCTCAGCCACGCCTTCCAGCTCCCACACCCTCACCGTAGTCCCTCCTCCCACTGTTCCCCTGACTTGCTTCTCTTCCTGCAGTCCATGGCTTCTACACTCGCTCTGAAGTCACCCGTCTGGTCACCCTGGGACACCCCACACCTCCGCCGTCCTGCCTTCCACCCGCCCCACCTCAACTGCCCCCGGTGTGGGCCTTGTGGGGCTGGGGCACCTCTTTCCCAGCCCCAGAGAGGACTCCGAGAGTCCAGGTGGGTGGCCACGAGGAGCCTGGAGGTGCAGGGAGACGGGAGCGAGGGCCACAGGGGACAAGCTGAGCCAGGTAGCCATCTGGGCTCGTTCATGAGCCAGTGGGCGTGATGGGGGGAGGTAGGCGGGCTGGCCTAAGAACACCCTCAGTAGATCAACCCCTCGACAGCTGCTTGGCTAAGCCGCCCCCAGTTAAATCCACCATCCACCTACTCAGCCATCACCCCCTCGACACACAGAGACACACTCACAGAAACAAACACACAGGCACACACACGCTCTACAGCTGAATGGGGCAGGAATAAACAACACTTCATGGCCTCCCTTCCTGGTTCTGTGGGAAGTCTCCTCTTCCTCCTACTTCTTCGGACATGGCAGGACGTGTCCCTGAGACCACTCCCACAGCCCCCACACAGGCTCCTGGCTCCAATCGCCATTGATCACAGACCAGTCTCCCCAACATCTTCCTTGAGCTAACATGCGCAGTCTCTGTGGCCCCGCCTCCACGGGTGCCCCCCAGACGCCCAGCATTTCTACATTGAACTCTGACCCCTGCACCACCATGCTCTACTTTGCACACCCAAACCTTCCAATGCCTCCCATCAAACCTTAACCCCTATGACCCCTCTTTATCTACCTTGACCTTCCAAGGATATCCAGAATTCCAGAATCATGATTTGCTGCCACCTACTGCTGTGGGGTCCCCCACGGTCCTGTGCTGGGCCCACTGCCTGGCTGGTCTCCACTCCTGCCCTCACAACTCTGACACTCAGCAGAGCGACCAGACGGAGTCAGTGCAAGGCCCTCGGGGGCCTTCTCCTTCCTTGCAGGGGTGTCCAGATCCTCATGAGTCACACAGGCCCTGCACCCCCATCCCCTCTGATCTCACCCCCCACCACTCCCCTCCCGCTCACCATCACGGCCGCCCCAGCCCCCTGGCAGCCGCCACGCACAGCAGCCCTGAGCCCTCCACCCCCCAGCGACTTGGGCACATGCACCTCTCCCAGCCTCCAGCAGGTGACGGACAGTCCCAGCAAGGCCAGAGCCCCGTGACACGGGTGGAGCCCACACAGGAGGGGCTGGCGTGGCTGGAGCAGGGCCTAAGGGGCAGTGAGCAACGGGTGCAGGGAGGCAGCTGACGGAGCAGCAAGGACCTCGATAGGAGTCCTGCAAGTGGACAGAGGAGCGGCATGGGCTGGTCTCTGGCCACACTGGAGCCCAGATGGCCGCAGGGAACGGAGAGGAGGGTAGGGATGGCGGTGGCAGAAGGTTCCGGAAGTGGTCAGATTAGGCAAAGCCAAGCAGACTTCCCGAAGGGTTGGGTGTGAACGTGAGAGCAGTCGGGGTGATTCCTACGTAAAGGAAACTATCAAACGCGACCATAACATCATAACGTTGCCTGGAAAAGTCAGCACTCGAAACATGCCAACGGAATCCCGACCAAACTGAACACTTAAAATAATTACAAAGTCCCAACAAGACATTCAGGAACCTGACAAACTGAACCTACAATTTATCTGAGTAAGTATGTGACAACAGCTAGTGCATTTCACAGGGGAAAGAATACACTGAGATTGCCCAGAGGCTGCAGGTTAAGACAGCAGAGCGCAGGGGCAGCAGCCTAGAGCCTCCAGGAGGACTTGTGTGCATGCAGCAAGCAGAGACAGATCACTCAATCACCAGGGAGCGTCTGGGAGAAGTTCCAGCTGGGTGGTTCTTTTTTTTTTTTCTGTGAGGAAGATTAGCCCTGAGCTAACATCTGTTGCCAATCCTCCTCTTTCTGCTGAGGAAGACTGGCCCTGGGCTAACATCCATGCCCATCTTCCTCTACTTTATATGTGGGATGCTGCCACGGCATGGCTTGACAAGCAGTGTGTAGGTCCTTGCTGAGGATCCGAACCTGTGAACCCCAGGCTGCTGAAGCAGAGTTCACAAGCTTAGCCACTACACCACCAGGCCAGCCCCTAGCTGGGTGGTTCTTGTCACTTACGTGAAAATTAATTTGAGGCTGAATATAAAATTACAGGTAAAACAATAATGCATGAAAATCGTTTTTAAAATCTGGGCACATCCTTGCATAATCTCATCTGGGAACTGCTTCCTAAGTACGCCAGCAAACCAGACCCTGAAGGACAGGATGGATGGATTTGACAACAGAACACAAATTCCATGTAGCAAAGTTCAAACTGGAAGAAGGTCCTTTCCACGCGAGGCAGAGAGAGGGTAACGTGCTTTAGAGAGACTCCATACAAGTCAGGAAGAGAGAACAGCTCCAATAAAAGGGGACGAGAGGAAAAACATCAGCGCTGCATCAACCCCTGGAAAGGATCTCACGCTCGTATACGAAATCCTCAGAAGACCAGAAAAGATCGAACTTACTGGCAATGCTCGTTCCTCAGAGGGTGTAGGGCAGAGACATGCTCATTAACCTTCCCGGAGAGCACGCTAAGAATACAAAATTAAAAATGGGAATACTCCTAAAATCTGAAAATTTAACCTCTGTGAATTTAGACAAAGGGAAAAACAGGCCGAAGGTGTGTGTGTGCAGCATCGTTTCCTGAGTGAACAATGAACGAGCTGTGTGCCCATCAGCAGGGCAGCGGGCAGACACACTTGGCTCCTGCGTGAAAATGACAGGACACACACAAGGTGTTAGAAAGGCAGATTAGGGTCGCAAAATGAACCATTCCATTTTAATTAAAAATAAATGGAAGGGGTGTGTGAAAAAGCACACGTGTGTACACGGGGTGTGTGAGGATGTGCACACGTGTGTGTGCATGTGTGCACAGATTAAAATCTCAAAGAATATGTTCAACAAAATGTTCAGGATATTTAATCCTTGAGCGGTAAGATTAGGATGATTTTCACTACCTTCATTTTCCTTTATTGTCTTCTGTTTTAACAATAAGCATATATTGCATGCATAATCAGAATAAAAAACTATCTTCATTTGGGGAAAATTCTGTTGCAGAAAAATATTTAATAGCATAGAAAGATGCTTGTGGCTTAGTTTAGAATAAATACAAATCATGCTCCCACTTTCAGATACACACGTGTGTGGTGTGTGTGTGGTGTGTGTGTCTGTATAGACACATAGCAGGGATTGGAAGGACACACACGAAAGTGTCGGCCATGGTAATTTCAGGGTGTCAGGATAATTGTCATTTATCTTATTTTCGTATGTATATATTCTCCAACTTTCACAAAATTAACAAGTACAACTTAAAGTAAGTACTCATTAGGAGCATTTTTCTTCCTAGCAGATGTAGTGGGAGCCGCCCACACCCCTTCCTGGGGTCCACACTCCCCACCCCTTCGCCCCCTCAGCAGGGGTGGCCTGCAGCCAGGACTGACTGATCCTGGGGTACAAAGGCCCGGTCCCTGCTCCAGAGCAACACACAGGGTCGTTTCTTCCTCACCCTTTTACAGGAGCATCGCCTGAGATGCCCCCCAAGCAAACTTACCACATAGGGAGCCCCATCTTTCACAAGAGACCAAGAAAATCAGGCAAAACCACAGCTGCAGGCGGGGCTGCCTTAACCAGCAAAAAGCTGGCCTGATTGGGGTGCCCACACAGGCTCTGTCACCCCCTTCCCAGCCTCCTCTCCCACCTGCCCTGCCCGCCCGAGCCACTCTGCACTCTGGAGCAAGCCCCCCCGGTCTTCCACCTCCTCCCTAGAGATACCCATCACCTCCTCGCTCTGAGGACACGGCCCAGCTCTCACTCCTCTCGGGCCCCTTCCTCCCACCCTCCCCCTGAAAGCAGACCCACCACCCACGGCCCACCCTCATCGTTGTGCCTCATGGTCACCCCCAGTCCCTTCTCCGTGCCAATTGTGGGTGGTTTCCATATCTAGCATTCCCCAGAACACGCCCAGCACACACAGACCCCTAGTAAATGTCTGTGGAAGAAATGAATGCCCTGGACACAGGGAGCCTGGAGCCTGTGGGAAGGAACATGAGACGCCCCAGCCTGTCCCTTCTGAGCAGGTGGAGAGCCGGGCCTGCGGGCTCCCAGGAAGCCCCCGGACACTCCCTGCGGGAGTGACACGCCAGCAATAATCTCAAGAGCATGCTCCAGTCCCACTCTCATCCACCCGACAGATGGCCCAGGCCCGAGGGGCCAGGGAGGTCCGGAGCACCGACAGGTCCCTCAGAAGCTCTGGGCCCACCCGGGGTAGGGGCAGAGCAGGGCAGAGAGGGTTAAAAACACACCCAGTGGGGCCGCTTTATTGCAAGGTCGGGAGGGGACATCAGGACGCGCAGCCCCGTGGGTGCAGACTTCTCGCAGTAGGACAGAGGCAGCCCCGAGACGAGAATCCGCACAGTCCGGCCTGCCTGCCGCTGGGCCTTCCCCAGGCCTCGGCCTCGGGCGCTGATCCTTCACTGAGATTCCTCCATCCTCAAGCACGGGTCCTCCGTCCTCTGGGTGGGCCCTGGACGATCAACTGGTGGGGAGGAGGAGGTTGAGGCGCCTGGGCTGTCGCCTGGAGGACTTCAGCTCTCTGAGTCTCAGCTTCCCCAGCCCGCCTCCACCCCGCCCCCGCCGCAGCATGGGGTGACAGAGCCCCACTCGGGGCTGAGGGTTGCACAGGTCATATTCTGCTCCGTGGTTGCACATGTGTGGGGGACACGGCAAGGGCTAGGTGTTAGCTGCGATTGCTCTTCAAAGAGGGGGCCTCGAAGCCACCTAGGCCCCCGTCCTGGGGTCCCCAAGCCAAAGGAGCTGTGACCAGATCCAGGGTGCACCCCACAGCGGGGACTTGTTATTACAAGCCCTATTTTACAGAGAGGAAAATGGAGGTGACACCAAGTGTCAGAGCTCAGGCTTTAGCGGCACAGGCCCAAGGGCAGGGGTCAGCAGAGCCTCTCTGTCCCCACCAAGCAAAGGCTCTGAAAAACAGCAGGCAACACTTGCTCCTCTCCCCAGCCCCCACAGGGCCAGGCCCACCCTGCCAAGTCCCAGGCACAGCTTTGCACACAGCCTCGCTCACCACCAGCCGCCCTCGGTGCACCAGGGCCCTGCTATGGAGTCGCCATTCACATGCTCTCAGCTCCTCCTCAGGTCACACCAAAGGAGGGGAGGTGGAGAGGGTGGGGGGAGGAAAGTGTTTCTAGAAGCAGACACCTGCTGCCACCCAACTTCAAGAAATGCCTGAGAGGGCAGGCTAGGAGGAATTTTCCAGAAGCAGCCCCAAGGCCAAGTGCCCTGTGGTCCAGGGGAACCACCAGGGCCCCCAGGTGTCATCAGAGGAGCCCTCAGGGGTCGGCAGAGCCCCCAGGTGTCCAGAGGAGCCCAAGGTGTCAGCAGAGTCCCCAGATGTCAGCAGAGCCCCCAGGTGTCAGCAGAGCCCCCAGATGTCAGCAGAGCCCCCAGGTGTCAGCAGAGCCCCCAGGTGTCCAGCAGAGCCCCCAGGTGTCCAGAGGAGCCCCCAAGTGTCAGCAGAGCCTCCAGGTGTCCAGCAGAGCCCCCAGGTGTCCTGAGGAGCCCCCAGGTGTCAGCAGAGCCCCAGGTGGCCAGAGGAGCCCTCATGTGTCCAGAGGAGCCCCCACGTGTCCAGAGGAGCCCCCTGGTGTCAGCAGAGCCCACAGGTGTCCAGGGGAGCCCCAGGTGTCCAGCAGAGCCCCCAGGTGTCAGCAGATACCCCAGGTGTCCAGAGGAGCCCCCAGGTGTTAGCACAGCCCCAGATGTTCAGAGGAGGCCCCTGGTGTCAGCACAGCCCCAGGTGTCCAGTGGAGCCCCCAGGTGTCCAGTGGAGCCCCCAGGTGTCCAGAGGAACCCCCAGGTGTCAGCAGAGCCCCCAGGTGTCCAGAGGAGCCCCCAGGTGTTGGCAGAGCCCTCGGGTGTCCAGAGGAGCCCTCAGGCATCCTGTCCCAGCTCTGTGGGGCCCAGGGCATGCCCACCTCCAGGGAGCCGTGGCACATTAGGCATAGTGCTGCCACCATTCATAGGGAAGGGCCAGGCCGGCTCTGTGCCCTCCCTGTCCCCACAACAGGCTCATCTGGGGACTCTGGAAAGTGGCTTGAATCTGAGAGATCTGGGACAATGGTAG